CAGTCAGTCACTCACTCACTCGCCTTGGGCCTCGTCTGTGAGTGAATTGCGAGGAAGTCTCAAGTGGGAACCCCTTCCCTACTGGGCCCGCGGATCATGTTACTAATCCGAGCGGGCCATCCCATTCCTGTAACTGTCGCCACTTTCGGGCTCTCACGCTGCCGGAACGCCATTCCCAGGCCACATCCGTGAGTGAATTGCGAAGAAATCTGAAAGCGGGAGCCCCCTCCCTATGGGGCCCGCGGATCATGTTACTCATCCGAGCGGGTCATCCGATTCTTATAGCCGTCGCCATTTTTAAGCTCTCGCGCTGCCAGAACGCCATTCCCAGGCCACATTTGTGAGTGAATTGCGAAGAACTCTGAAGCGGAAGCCCCCTCCCTATTGGGCCCGCGGATCATGTTATTAATCCGGGCGGGTCATCCAATTCCAATGCTGTCGCCACTTTTGGGCTCCCGCGCTGCCAGAACGCCACTCCCAGGCCACATTTTGAATGCCCGGAGTCAACTGTAGGCCACTTCGTGTTCTTCGTGCTCCCAGAACACTACTCCCGGACTACATTTTGAATGCCCGGAGCCAACTGTAGGCCACTTCGTGTTCCTCGTGTTCCCAGAACACCACTCCCGGGCCACTTTCTGAATGTCCGGAGCCAAAACAAGAGGGCAAGGTCGGGGGCAACGTAGGGAACGGGGGGAGGGCCCGCGCCAAGGCGAGAAGAAATATACGCAGAAGAGACAGCCAGGACGCCTCACCAACCACGAGGACGACGATGAGGGCTTTTTCCAGATTCGCCCAGAGGATTCTCATGCGGGGTCTTTCCGTCGGAGTAATTTTACGACGACATGGGAGCGATGAAAGCCTCTGAAAGTTCGAGGCAGACTGCAATGGATTAAACCACGCTGGCATCTCCGCCACCCCGACCGACACCGAAGCCTCGGCCGACACAGCGGGAACGCCTGAGAAAAGTATACAGTGATGCTCGTCGCTGCAGCGCGCCCCCCGCTGAGGGGGGGGGCTGCCTCGCGCCTACTGCGGCTGTGCGCTGCACTGGACCAATCCTGAACCGTTTTTTACGGTCCCGAGGGCCGGCAAGGGCCCCCAAAGGCCGAACGTGGCAGAAAACCTCCCGTCATGATTTTCTCATTGCCAGAGGGGGTCTGGGTAGTGCGACGCGACCGAACCGCCCGAACCGCGAACACCATTTGTGTGCCTTCCTCCTCCCGTCGGGGCGGTCGCCTGCGGCCCCAGACGCCATGGGGCGGACCGCTCGCGCCGAGGCTGGGGCTCCCGGACCTGATCACGGCGGCCAAGCCGCGCGGCTCCCACAGGGCAAAGCGCCTCCTCGAGCTCGAGCGCGCGACGGGGGAGGCGGAGGAGGATCGGGGAGGAAGCTGCCCCAGCAGAGCGTCCTATTCCCCAGCCCTCCACAGGGCGTGGGTGGCTTGGCGAGACTTTCCTCTTCCAGTCTCCTTCGTCCCCTCGGCGGGGGGGGGGGCCCGCTTCCAGGCCCCTTCTTGCTCTCCGGGAGGGCCGGGGAGGAACTGCCCCAGCAGAGCGCCCCGACGGCAGCAGAGTCGAGGAGGCGGGGCGAAGAGCATGCGGCAGGAGATCGACTGTATGAAGGGGCCCAGGGACACACACAAGTAAATCGACACGAATAACAGGATTCCCTATATTTGTCCAGTCTTTTCTGCGTCTTCGTCTCCTTCCCCCCTGGTTCCAATCTTTTCCCATATTTCCTTGGGAGGCGACGATCCCTGGTGTCTGTGCGCTTTCTCCCCTCCCGGCGGCATGGGCCCGGGGTGAGAGCATGGCCGCGCGAACCCGGAGCCGCCCTTGGCCGGGACCGTGGCCGCCTGGAGGCGCGACCGGGGCAGAGCAGCCGCCGTGGGGAACCCCTCGGCGTGGCCGTGGACGGAAGAAGGCGGAGGAGGAGGGGCACGCCGGCGGCCTGCCAGCGGCAGCGCGCGATTGAGCAGAGTGAAGGGGGGGGAAGGGTCGTGCACCACCCCTGGGTTTAAGTCGAGCGTGTCCCCCTACACGGGGGATTTTCAACGAAAAATGAAAAGTACTCAAAACATACTCCAGCAATTGTCAAACATACTCTAAAAATGATCCCCTGACTGCTTTTTCCCTACCTAGGCTCTGCCTAGAAGGGTTCCTACTCTCTAGCTTAAAGGGGCCGGGCAGTGCTACACGCCCCGGGCGGTTCCCCCAGTCCCCGCCCCGCGATTCCCCCAGTCGCGCCCCCTTAGCTTGGCTTAGCTTATCTCGTCTTAGCTTAGCTTGGCTTAGCTTAGCTTGGCTTAGCTTAGCTTAGCTTGGCTTACCTTAGCTTAGCTTAGCCTGGCTTAGCTTAGCCTAATCTAGCTTAGCTTAGCGTAGTATAGCATAGCATGGCATAGCATAGCGCAGTATAACATAGCACAGTATTGTATAGCATAGCTTAGCATAGCTTAGCATAGCGCCCTCTTAGCTTGGCTTAGCTTATCTCGTCTTAGCTTAGCTTGGCTTAGCTTAGCTTGGCTTAGCTTAGCTTAGCCTGACTTACCTTAGCTTAGCTTAGCTTAGCCTGGCTTAGCTTAGCCTAATCTAGCTTAGCTTAGCGTAGCATAGCATGGCATAGCGCAGTATAACATAGCACAGTATTGCATATCATAGCTTAGCGTAGCTTAGCATAGCTTAGCATAGCGCCCTCTTAGCTTGGCTTAGCTTATCTCGTCTTAGCTTAGCTTGGCTTAGCTTAGCTCGGCTTAGCTTAGCTTAGCGTGGCTTACCTTAGCTTAGCTGAGCTTAGCTTATCCTAATGTAGCTCAGCTTAGCGTAGCAAACCACAGCATGGCATAGCACAGCATAGCATAACATAGCACAGTATTGCATAGCATAGCTTATCATCGCATATATTATTTAGCTTTAGCTTAGCTGTAGCTTAGCGTTATCTTAGATGTAGCTTAGCTTTAGCTTAGCTTTACCTTCGCTTTAGCTTAGCTACATCTTATCTATAGTTTAGCTTTAGCTTAACGTTCGTTTAGCTTTCGCTTAGCTTTATCTTAGCTACAGATTAGATTTAGCTTAGATGTAGCTTAGCTTTAGCTTAGCTTTACCTTCGCTTTAGCTTAGCTGTACCTTAGCTTTAGCTTAGATTCAGCGTAGCCTTAGCTTAGCTTTAACTTAGCGTTAGCTGATCTTTAGCTTAGCTTTAGCTTAGCTTCAGTTAAGCTTTATCTAAATTTTAGCTTAGCTTTAACTTAGCTTTAGCTTAGCGTTAGTTTAGCTTGAGCTTAACTTTAGTGTTACTACCAATGCTGCTTCCATGGGGGCTCCAAGTCCTAGGTAGGGTCGCAGTGGGATAATTTGAGTATGTTTGAATATTCCTCCTGCAGAGGCTTAACCCTGGGTGCGCGGCCCGGATTATGTTTATGTGTTCCTTAATCAGTGCTTGCGCTGAAGCACTGAAGGGGTCCTAGCGGAGGCTGAAAGATTTGACGAAAGTTCCCCGCCGATTTTGGTAGCAGGCTGGGTTCCCGGGTTCCCGGCTATTGGATCCGGGCCGATTTCGGTGGGTCCTGCAGTTCCCAGGCTCCCTGGTTCCCGGCCGACCTCCTCAGCCATCAGCTGATTGGGTTTTCTCTGGTGAAATTTGTTTGTTCGACCCAACCCCGTGACCCGCCCCGCGACCCACCCGCGACCCACCCCCAGACATGCGACGTTTCGATCGATTTTTTCAGGACGGCGTCCCTGGAAATCCTGACCCTTTCCCCGGGATCGATTTTTCGCCCTGAGTCGTTTTTTGACGGTCCCGAGGCCCGGCGAGGGCCCACCGGGGCCGAAAATAGCCAAACACTTCCCGCCCTGATTTCTTTACGACGCGATCGTGTCTGGGCCTACAGTGTGTTGACGAAAAAAGCGGCGCCTGCGGCGGACTCCTTGCGCATCGTGCCAACACAAAAAAAGTCGCCGCCCGCGGCGGGCCTCTTCAGAACCTCGCGGGCTGCCTGCCGACGGCCCTGCCGCCCCCTCAGTCCGATCGGCAAAGGCGAGGTGCTGCGCACCCTGTTCGACTGCACGCAAAGAGTGACCCTGGGTAAGAATGACCTTTGGCGCGCGGCTTCTATAGGGGGCCGCGGGAGGACCAAACACAAGCGCGCAAGACGCTACCACCGCACCGCGCTCGGCGATCGGGAGACCCCCGTGGGCTCGCACCCAAGGTCACTCCGGCGAAGGGTCACTCCTTACGCGTAGTCGACCTGTCTCCCTCGAGGGGCCCGGGACACTGGCCAGCAAGGGAGGGGTGGACGGGGGAGGACGACCCACAAGGCGGCGCAGGCCTGCCGTCGAAGGAGGTGCCAACCCTCGGCCCGTCGGCGCCTCTTCACCGTGAGGCAGGCCCGCCCCTTCCCAGACTTTGTGGCCAGCGGCGAGGGCGAGCGCCGACGCGGTCGAGAACAGCTGGCAGGCCGCGCCAGGAAAGGGCACGCTGGACAAGTGGAAAAGAAGAGGGCGGCCGCCCAAGAGTTACGCGGGAGGGGGCCTCAAGCATAGAGCGTCTTCGCTGACGGACAACCTGTGTGTTGGAAGGTGAGCGGCCAGTGCAAGCTGCCGCAAGGCGGAGGCAGCGCCGTCCCAGCGGAGAGGCATACCATCAGATCCCCTTCCCCGACACGGGAGTGGCGCGAAAGAGCGGAGCACACCCCTTCCCTACCTGGCTTTTCCGATTGCAGCGCAGCTCGCTGGAAGAGGGAGGCGTCAAGAACGGGACGGCCGTAGCACGTCACACAAAGGCAATTGCACTTGTTCGCTTTTCCGCGTGCGTCGCTCGCGCCTCTCCGGCGATGGTCAGAGGTCGTCCTTTGATGCTGCCAGTGGTGCGCTTCTGTGCCATTTGGTCACGAGAAGTACCCCTGGTAAGTACTGTGCTTAACGTATGGGCATGCGCCTCCTAATTGGACACCGCTGTCGCACAGTCATGCCGATGAAACAATAAGGTAGGTTGCGACGCGTCAAGCGAAACATGCGGAGGAGGGACATACCCATACATGCGCAGAGCTGAACCGATGTAAAGGTGCTGGCCGCCTCAATCTTTTCAATGCATCATATGATCACTCGTCCTGACAACGTGAAGTCAGACGGCCTTCACAAAATCAAATCATAGCGACATGCCAACTACTTAATATTACCCTCGGAATGCGGGGCGATGCTGGAACCAACTGCGCATAACATTCAACGTGAAGGTGCCCGAACGGCCGAACTTCATCCCTCCGCGCGGGGCTGGATGGATGGCTCCGTCTCTGGGGGCGATTCTTGGGGGCAACACACGGGACGATATTTTTGGGCAACTCATTCGGGGATGGACAGAACCCCCTTTAGTAAAACGTGGTTTAGTGAAAACGACCTGAGGCCCAAACCTGGCGGGCGCAAGCCTGGAAAATAACGGCCACGGCGCCCTCTCGAGAACCGAAAACGGACGATTCACTAATCGACGTGTCACTGTTGGGGGTTCTGTCCAGCCCCGACTCATGGGGGCGATAACTGGGGGCCATATTCTGGGGGCAGCACATGGGGCAGTACAGGAGGGCAAGCACATGGGGGCAATACTTGAGGGCAATGCCTGAGGGCAATATCTGCCGCCCCATCACCCTTATCTGCAAATTCGGGGTGCTACGTAACAGCAACAATATGCGCGTGCGTGTCTACTAACACGTGCGCAGGGACTGAAGCAATACGTGGGACGTAGCGGAACACACGTGAACGAGACCATGACTATCAAGCCAGCTGTCAAAGATCGAGAAATCAGCCCGAGGAAGCTCGAGGAGCACGAGGAGGACGGGGAAGGAGGAGGAGAAGCAGGAGAAGGAGGAGGAGGAGAAGGAGGGGGAGGAGGAGGAGGAGGAGGGAGGAGGAGGAGGAGGAGGAGGGAGGAGGAGGGAGGAAGAGGAGGAGGAGAGGGAGGAGAGGGAGGGGAGGAGGGAGGAGAGGAGGAGGGTAGGAGGGGGAGGAGGGGAGGAGAGAGGGAGGAGGAGGAGGAGGAGGAGGAGGGGAAGGAGGAGGAGAGGGAGGAGGAGAGCAGGAGGAGGAGGCGGGAGGAAGCAGGAGGAGAGGCAGAGAGAGGAGGAGGAGGAGGAGGAGGCTGCCGCTGTGGCCTCTCGCGGCGCTGAAAGGCGCCCGGCGGGCCCCGCGAAGGCCGCGCCTCTTGGGCGGCCCAGGCGCGGCGGCCTGTTTGCCTCGTGATCGGCACCGGGTGACCTTTTCCTCCGTCTCCTCCTCCTCCTCCTCCTCCTCCTCCTCCTCCTCTCCTCCTCCTCCTGGTCATCCTCTTCCTCCTCCTCCTCTTCCTCCTCCGCCTCCTCCGCCTCCTTCCCTTCCTCCTCCTCCTCCTCCTCCTCCTCCTCCTCCTCCTCCTCCTCCCCCTCCTCTCCGCCCAGCTAGGACCACTGCCGCCCGCGCGCGGGCACGGTGCGGCCATCTTGGGCCGTCCGGGTCGAACTGCAAAACCAAGGGCATACACATGCTAACCAGAGTGCCCCCCCCCCAACCGCTAGTTTAGTCATGTATGTCGTGCAATGAACGTCGGCCAAAACATTGGGGGACATCGATGTGGTGTACTATTTGTGGTGACGCCTGTTAGGACATCTATGTTGTACAATACAAGTTAGTGTGTTTACATATGCAAGACTACGCATGTACCCCCCATATATACATTTATAGATATATGTATGCATATCGATATATTTATATATACAAAAGTCATGCGACTGAGGTTGGCCAATTTGAATGGAAATGTGCAAGATATGTGGTGCAATCTGCGTGGTGCAATGTATGTTGTGCAATCTACGTTTGGAATTCGTCGCCGGATTCACCGGATTCGCTGGTTTTCCGGGATCTCGCTTGAAACGGAGCCTCGTTGGGGGGGCTCCGGGGGCCGGTTTTTCTGAGGATGTCCCACGCAAGGGCGCCAATTTGAAATTCTCGCCGGTTTCGCTGGATTCGCTCCATTCGGATCTCGCCTGGAACAGAACAGGAAGCCTCTGAGAGCTTCGTTGGGGAAGCGACGGGGATCGGTTTTTCTATGAAAGAAGTCCCACCCGAGGGCGGCGGTATGGAATTCGTCGCCGGATTCGCCCGACTCGCCGGATACGCCGGATATCGCCAGATTTTCCGGATCTCGCCGGAAACGGAACAAGGGGGGCGGTCGGCGGGGCCATCGCCTCGCGCGCCAGGGGTCAGGATAACGTGAATTCCGCAGAAACTCGTTCAACAAATGATTGTTCCCAACTATCCTGTGGTGTTGGGTCCTCGTTTTGAAAAGACGGTGCCCCGCGTCTCCGTCCCGCTGCCCCCTCCAGCCTCCCTCCTCCCCCTCCTTGCCTTTGCTCTCGGCACACCCCCCATACGTTTCGTGGCCCCATAGGGAGCTCCACCGAAGGCCCCACTGGGGCTGCTCTCGCATGCGGTTCCCCCACCCAGGGCAGCGCTTCGTGGCCCCATCTGGAGATCCACCGAAGGCCCCAGTGGCTGCTCTCGCATGCGGTTCCCCCGCCCAGGGCAGCGTTTCGTGGCCCCATACGGAACTCCACCGTAGGCCCCAGTGGCTACTCTCGCATGCGGTTCCCCCGCCCAGGGCAGCGCTTCGTGGCCCCATAGGAAGCTCCACCGAAGGCCCCAATGGCTGCTCTCGCACGCGGTTCCCCCATCCAGGGCAACGCTTCGTGGCCCCATAGGGAGCTCCACCAAAGGCCCCATTGGCTGCTCTGATGCGGTTCCCCCACCCAGGGCAACGCTTCGTGGCCCCATAGGGAGCCCCACCAAAGGCCCCAGTGGGTGCTCTCGCATGCGGTTCCCCCGCCCAGGGCAGCGCTTCGTGGCCCCATAGGGAGCTCCACCGAAGGCCCCAGTGGCTGCTCTCGCATGCGGTTCCCCCACCCCGGGCAGCGCTTCGTGGCCGTATAGGGAGCTCCACCGAAGGCCCTAATGGCTGCTTTCGCATGCGGTTCCCCCACCCAGGGCAGCGCGTCGTGGCCCCATAGGGAGCTCCACCGAAGGCCCTAGTGGGTGCTCTCGCATGCGGTTCCCCTACCCAGGGCAGCGTTTCGTGGCCCCATAGGGAGCTCCACCGTAGGCCCCAGTGGCTGCTCTCGCATGCGGTTTTCCCGCCCAGGGCAGCGTTTCGTGGCCCCATCTGGAGATCCACCGAAGGCCCCAGTGGCTGCTCTCGCATGCGGTTCCCCCACCCGGGCAGCGCTTCGTGGCCCCATCTGGAGATCCACCGAAGGCCCCAGTGGGGGCTCTCGCATGCGGTTCCCCCGCCCAGGGCAACGCTTCGTGGCCCCATAGGGAGCTCCACCGAAGGCCCCACTGGGGCTGCTCTCGCATGCGGTTCCCCGACCCACGGCAGCGTTTCGTGGCCACATAGGGAGCTCCACCGAAGGCCCCAGTGGCTGCTCTCGCATGCTCTCCCCCAGTGGCCCCATAACGACCTCCACTGAAAGCCCCAATGGGGGTGCCCGCATGCGGTTCCCCTACCCAAGGCAGCGTTTCGTGGCCCCATAAGGAGCTCCACCGTAGGCCCCAGTGGCTGCTCTCGCATGCGGTTCCCCCATCCAGGGCAACGTTTCGTGGCCCCATAGGGAGCTCCACCGAAGGCCCCACTGGGGGTGCCCCAATGCGGTTCCCCCACCCAGGGCAGCGCTTCGTGGCCCCATCTGGAGATCCACCGAAGGCCCCAGTGGGGGTGCCCGCGTGCGATTCCCCCACCCAGGGCAGCGCTTCGTGGCCCCATAGGGAGCTCCACCGAAGGCCCCAGTGGGGGTGCCCGCATGCTCTCCCCCCCCCAGGGCAGCGCTTCGTGGCCCCATAAGGAGCTCCACCGAAGGCCCCGATGGGGGTGTTCGCATGCGGTTCCCGCACCCAGGGCAGCGCTTCGTGGCTCCATGGGGAGTTCCACCGAAGGCCCAAGTGGCTGCATTCGCATGCGTCCCCCCACCCAGGACACCATTTCGTGGCCCCATAGGGAACCCGACCGAATGCGTTGCTCACAAAAACGGTACCCACAACTGCATATGGTTGGGTCCTTCGACAGGCTAAGTGGGATTGAAATTTCATTTCCAACAAAAAAATATTGTTCATCCCCCCCGTCAGGTGACCATCCTAATTTTCCAATTGAAGTGCCGAGCCGGGTGCCAAGTTCGGTGTCAACAAACTGGGCTGTTGGTCCCCACTGTACAGCAACAGCGGCTCCCGCTTGATACGTCCTCACATTCGATTCCGAAATTGCGCTTTCGCGCAGGGTGTCCTATAATGCGCGCAAGAATCGTGTTTTCTGCGTGGGACTTCCCCGCAATGTATTGCGGCGCCGCGCCCCCGGCACTCAGGAATCACGCTCTCGCTCTGGAATTCCTCACGATTTGCTTGTGGATCGCGATATCGTTCGCCGTGCGATGCATGTTGGATTGACGCTTCAGCGACCCGTCCGCTCGACCCGCCCGCGCTGCCTGTCAGGGCCCGTCCGCCCGACCCGCCCGTCTGGCTTTTCCGATTGTACTCCTGCTCCGGTGATTTTTTACTAGTCCCTCTTGTGTTCCATCCTGTCTCCCCCCCCCTTGTCTCTCCCATCTCCCCTTCGCCCCCCTGTTTCAGGGGCCGCGCCAACTGCGAGCAGCAGGTAGAGAAGATATACGCCCGAGGGCATTGCGATCGAAAACGAAGAGGCGGTCAGCGAGGGCGTGGGATATACGCGTTGAATGGCACGCGAGCAGGTACGAGCGAGCAGTCGAAATCAGTTGTTTGTTGTTGACGTCATTGGTGTCGTTGCGGTTGTGATTGTGATTGTTGTCGTTGCTGTTTTGTTGATGTCGTTGTTGCCGTCGTTGTGGTTATTGACGTTGTTGATCTTAAGTTTTAAAAACTGATTGCTGTTGGACACACTCACAATAATAAGAATTTGCGTTGTTAGTATGAAGGTGTTTTCGTGCTCTCGCCAAAGCGCCGGCTGCAAGTCCTGTTTAAAATTAATCTCGCGCTCAGGCGTTTCGGGGCTCCGCCGCCACAACTGGGCCCGCAGCGACAACGGCGCGCTTTGGCTCGATCTGTCCTCATTTCGCTCGGGGCCGGGGCTCTAGCTCGCCCCCCGAAGCCGCCTTTCCCAAAAAATCGGCGCCCCCGCTCGATGCTGACCGGCGCTCCCACCTCAAGACCCCCTACAAACAACGACGCTTCCGCTTGATACTTCCTCCGCTTTTACTCAAGACTCCCAAGAGGCTCCGAAGTTTATCTAGTTCCTGTTGAGTCTTAGTAAGCAATGGTTATTGTCGGGCACCGTGAGTGCGCTTTCGCGCTCTCGCGCTTGCTCCGCGCGACCTCGCTCTCGCTCGTGTCCTGGGGCGTGGCGTCGTCGCCGTCGCGCTCTGGGCGCTGTCGGGGGCCTCCTGGGACTTCTGGAGACATCCGAGGCCATGAATATTTGTGGTGGGTATTTTTTGGAGCAGGGGCACAAGAAGGAGAAGGAGGAGGAGGACGACGACGACGGCGGCGGAGACGATGACGACGACGAGCTCCGGCGCCATCAGGAAGCGGCCGGCGCAAAAGCGGACCCTGGGAAAAGGGTCGAAAACCTACGGGCCTAAGCTCTGAAGCTTCTCTCAAAAGCTCTGGGGGCTCTCCACGGGGCTCTCCCAGAGGCTGTGAGGCCTCCCCCAATGGTTTTAGGCCACTCGGGCGTCGTGACACCTAGGAGCAAGAGTAGCAAGGCCTGGGCAGGGGGATCGCGAAAACGATGTGTCATCTGGGCTAGAGATATTGAAGTGCTTCGGAAGACGTGTTGTCAAGACCTGCTCGGGCGGAACATCAGGACGAGGGGATATCGGACCCCCTGTGTGCAAAAACTCATGAGGGGGAGCTACCATGATGGATGCATGCTGCAAGTGGAAGCATAAAGCGTTCGGGTAAAATGAGGGGAGCTACGATAATGGATGCATGCTGCATATAGATGCATATCGACGAGGACGGTGACGACGTCGTCGTCGTCGCCATTTCTATGGCCGTCGTCATCGTCGTTGTCGTCGTCGCTGTCGTCGTCGCTGTCGCCGTCGTCGTTGTCGTTGTCATCGTCGTTGTCGTCGTCGTTGTCGTGATGGTCGTCGCCATCGCCCCCCCGCACGTGCGCAACGCCCAGGTGGCGCGCGCGCGCGCCCGCGCGCGGCCCGCGGGGCGCGGGCAGCGCTCTCAGGGGTCGCCGGGCGGCCGCTCGAGGTCATCCCGCCGCCTCGCCCGCGCGCGGGCGGGCGCGGGAGGGGCCTCTCGTCGGCGGCGCTTCCTTCGGCGAAGTGAGAAGGGGGGGCACTGCAAAGGACCATGTCTTCTCAGAAAGCTGCGGGGTTTCTCAGAAACCAACTGGTTCCCTGACAAATGTTCAGCGCTTCGGGAAAATATAAAAAAACAACAGGAGAAAAAACTCCCGAGACTTCTGAAAAAAAGGCCCGCCCCCTCTCACGTCCCCTCCGGGCACGCCACCAAAAAACTGGTTTTACGCACGATGACATAACGAACTTACGACGCGGCTTGCGCGGGTCGCCAGCGCGGCACGCCACATTGGAAACAGAGGGCGCTGACGCGCTACCTTACGCCAGCAAAACCACCTACGTGCGAATGTCCGCGTGGCCAACCCCGCTTTTCCCCATCGCTCATGTGGGGGGGGCGTTCGGGGGGGGGCTCATGGGGGGCGCATTGAGCTAGATCGGCTGCACATCGCCGACGTATCGTCGATCGGCACCCGATAGCGAATCCGATAGGCACCCGACATATCGCCGATAGGCACCCCGATCGCGGGGTGGGTTATCGGGCTCCTGTCGGCGATGAACGTGCGATGCGTCCCCCCCTGAACCTACCCCCCATTGCAATTCCCTCCTGGTGCAGGCCACCTTACTTCGCGCACTGCGCCCCGCGGCGCGCGATCATCGTCGCGCCCTCGCGCCTCACCTTGTTGGGCGGGTGGTCGCGCGGGTAAAACAGGGCTCTAAACGTTCCCTCTCGGATACTTTGGAAGTCCTGTTCTGGGGCGCTTCTAAAGCAATAGTAGTGCCTTAGAAGTGCCCTATAAGTGCTCTAACATGACACTTGTAAGGCATTCTTGACGCACATCTGGAAGTACAGAAAACGGCCCCCAAAGTGCCCTGTAAGGCCACTGCTGGCTCCCAGAGAGGCACACGTCCCCCATGACCGCCCGCCTGACCCTGGAGAAGGGCACCCCTTCTGGCCTGGATCGCGACGCACGATTATCCTCGCGCACCCGCCGGCGACCTAGGGCCGTCCTCTCCCGAGGGCCCGAGGAGAGCAAAGAGGGGAGGGCGGGGTGCGGCAGGATCACTCAGCACCGCATCGGGGAAACGGATCGAATCGGATTGTGTGTGTGGGTTCTCACCAATTGCTGGCGCTTCTCCCCCACGTGGTCCCCGTGCGGAGGACGCGTCCCCCGTCGACCGCTGCCATGCCGTGAGGAAGCGGCCTGC